GTGATAATAGTAGGATTAAGTGGTATTGCTAAATCCCACAAATCTCCCAAAACACACTGTAGAAAATCAAACAATTCAATTGTGATTGACTGACTTGGTATATCAATAAGAAAATTAAATACATTCATAACTATTTTTTGGTTAAAATTTAGATTTTTTATGAAAAAATACTTGCATGTACACCACAAACCTCTAAAGACACTGCAAACCCCATCTAAACCATATAATTATGAATGTAGAACTCTCTTTTTCTTTAAAAAAAAATAATTTGATGCTCATACTAACCCACTGTTTGTGGGGTTTACCAATACACAGATTGAATTTCTGGAAAATTGTGATTCCGCTTCCGTGAAAAAAAAGTAAATTATTTTAGTATTAATAAATCCATGATTTATGTTGATTTATTGATTATGTTGTTGCTGTTTTTTAACATTTAAATGAAAAAAAAATAAAAAGTGTAATTCATGGCTTTTTATTTATCTTTGAATATTTTATCATTGAATATCAATTCTTCCAAAAAGTAAAATGTAAATGGCAATTTGTTTGATGTTAGATTCCTTTTAAAAACTAAATTATTTAAGATAAAAGGTGCATATATTGACTCAAGAAAATCAGTTTTAATACAGAATTTGATTATTGGGGAGATTCCTTTTAAAAACTAAATTAGTTAAGATAAAAAAAATGCATATAATGACTCAAGAAAATCAGTTTTAATTCAGAATTTGATTATTGGGAACATTTTTACCTACCTGTCATATGGGGCCATTTTTACCGGGGCCATTTTTTTCCGGGGCCATTTTTTTCCGGGGCCATTTTTTCCGTGGCCATTTTTTCCGGGGCATTTTTTCCGGGGCCATTCTTACCGTACACCACTATGCTAATAGGCCTAGGCCCAATATACTATTTGTAATAGGCCTTGACAAAATATTTCTATCATTTATTCACTAAATAATAAATAAAATGCAGAAATAAAAGCATATTATGTACAAACCAACTAATGCTGATTAATTGCTTTTAGGTTTATATTTTCATAATCTGAATAGTTTATGAATTATTGAGGAAATAATAATATACACTATCAAAAATAATCATTACGGTGACCTTGTTAAATAATTAGCTGGCACAGGGGATTAGAGGTAATGTTATCAGCTGGCACTCTGGTTGATTGAATAAGAAAAAAACTGGCAGCGTAAGAATGGTTAAGGTTTCCTAAATAATGCATAGCATATTGTACACTGCGTCCCTGTGTATTCATAACACATGTTAATTTAATTAGGCCACATCTTTTTATATGTATTTCACAGTATCCGTCAACTCGTATAAATATAATAGGCGCACATTCCTTGTTATTAATATTGCATTATATACGGTAATATAATTGTGTTCCTGTTTCTTGCATTTTTATTTATTCATGGAGGAATATGCATACTGTATCCTGTGTATACATAACACATGTTTTATGTAGCATGCTGACATTAGCAAAATGCTAGGTTTTTATAGTTTTAATCTTTACTAAAATCAGGGGCGGATCCAGAGATGTCCAAAAGTGGGGGGGGGGGGGGAAAGTTGGGCTGATCGAGACAACACTGTCCTAGGGGGTCCGGGGCATGCCCCCGCGAAATTGTTGTGTTCTAGACGCCCAAAAATACCATTTGATGTGCCTGGGCTATAATTTTTTTCTTTTTCTTTTTTTCCCCCTTTTTTTCTTTCTTTTTTCTTCCAAATGGAGGGGGCTGGGCCGGCAAAGGGGGGGGGGGGTGTGGCGGGGCCGGGCCGCCCCCCCTAAATCCGCCACTGAAAATGGCTGGTCTGTTTCTGAGACACACATAGTAAATTTTAAACCGTTTTAAACAGTTAATTTTATTTTGAAATACTTTACAATTTTAAATTGTTAATCTCTTAAACGTATTTCTCGTCATTGCAAAGTTGTTTTGTCGTGTGATTTTTAATGTAATTTTATCCTTCTTAACCAAGACTGTTGCAAAGGAAAAACAAATTCCTATTTTAAAATGGACAATAAAGTGTTCTTGAATCTAGAATCTTTTTTTTTTAGGTATTTCACAACTTCCGTCAACGTGTATAATTATAATAGACCTATAGTCATTGTTATTCATATTGCATTATACAGTATATGTGTTCGTGTCGTGTTTATTCATTCATTGAAGAATAAGCATCTCATTTCATATAGTTATGGAATTGATAAGAAATTTTGAACAATTTATTTTTATATACTTTTTGCAATACACTGTCTCCATATTATTTAAAAAACTGATTGTGATTTGGTCATTATTTTTTCTAAATCATAGCATTCTTAACCCTGTATGATGACTGCACTCTCGAAAAAGGGCCCATCGGAACCTAGTTTCACCACTGGGAAGTGGCAGGTTCGAGGGAGGTCCCAGCCGGCCCCCTTCCAAATTTGAATGTGCAAGTTATATTTGATTGCGTCAGAGAAAGTAGAATTTGGCTTAAAAACGATATTGAGTTGTAAATTATTGGTCCAGCCAACACCGGAGTAGCCAGACCGCTTCCGACGCCCTTGATATTCAAAACAGAATTTAAATAATGTAAAGTTAAAAATTACTATTTTTTTATTATCTAATTGTAATAAACTGAAGATAATCTGATCATCTTAAATTGCGCAATTTATTAAATTACGTGTAAAGAATAAATTTAATAACAGACCTATCTTATATAGACTAAATCCTAATTCTTGAAAATATATATTGCATTCATTATTAAACACTATTTATTTTTTGCACTAATTGTGTTCCACATTACTTTTTTGCACAAATGGCGTTCCACAATATACATTTACTGGGGTTAGGGACTGGTCAAATAGTGTGGATTGTGACTTTTTGCGCCACAATTTTGTGGTCTAACGTGATGTCAATAAAAAAAATTTGGCTAAATTCTTAAAATGTACTAAAATCTAATATCGTACGCAGCTACGCGAAAAGTTAAATAAAAACGTTTGCTTCATGATTGACCCTCCATCGCCAACATATATTTAACCGGTGATCTTTGACCTTTCACCTTCCAAATATTTTAATATGATTTAAAAATAAAATATTGATAATTTCTGTAAGATTTGATGTAGTTGAAGCATTTCTATATTTGACCTTTGTTTATGAACATTTCATTGCCAAAATATATTTAACAGTATTTAAAATGCCATAGGCATTAATCTTGTAAAATTTGGGTTCGACTGAATCAGTTTTATTGACTCCATAAACTTATCCTTGTGGATCATTGAAGTGAAATTTGGGTGCAATTGGAGCATGGTGATAATCTGACCTTTGGCATGGCCTTTTAATATCTATACAATACATACATACATACATACATACATACATACATACATACATATATACATACATATATATATATATATATATATATATATATATATATAACACGAAATAAAATACATGATCAGTTAGGTTGTCAATAGCAGCGACGGACAGTGCAGCGACGGACAGTGTAGAGTGGTATAGTAATAGTAGTAATATATCGTGGGTGGACTTCTAAAGAGGAAAAAATTCTCCAACCAGGATTCGAACCCGGGACCTTCTGCTGTCTATGCAGACGCCTTAACCATTATTCTCTCAATACAGAGAGAGCAGTTTGTTTACTCACAATGGATTTATTCGGTGTAAACACCAGGATAGCCCACAAAAGTCTAGAAGACTTATTTCCAGTGGGGTCCTTCTGGTGGTGACTGGGCAGTACACCGGGAGACAATTCCCTACTCTTTTCCGAAGAGTGTGCTTCGTTCTTTAACTTGCACATGGGCCATACATGCACACGGGATCAACAGCTTAAACGTCTCATCCGAAAGACGGTGCGCTATAACTTGTATTTCAGCCCTCCAGCTGAAACACAAGGAGTGGCAGCAATGGGAATTGAACCGTGGACATAGAGATCGCCACGGTTTAGCGTACACACAGTGGCTACCACAAGATTAGCCGACAGAGCTAAACTTCTCTCTTAATTATAGAGAACAGTTTGTATACTATCAATACAGAGGGAACAAAAGTCCAAATTTGTGATAGAGTTAAAAACAATCAACATTTGGTCCAAAGTTTTCTTGTAAAAAGTTAAAGTTATTACGTTAGTAGTTAATTTTTTTTACGTTACTGGTTAATGAAGTTTATTACGTTAGTGGTTGAAGTGTTATTATGTTAGTGATTAATGACTTATTACGTTAGTAGTTGATTTTTATTACATTAGTGGTTAATGTTACGTTAGTGGTTGTTTTTATTACGTTAGTGGTTAATATTACATTAGTGGTTGATTATTACGTTAGTGGGTGATACAGGCATCATGATATACGATTGAACAAGTACTGCTCCCTGTGGGACTTTGTGTAACTGCCTGCAGTTCGACACTTTGGTATTTATTGCTGTAACGTTTTTAATATATATAATATTTTAATATATATATTTTTAGAGTGGCGCTAACATTTTAAGCGTGGCGCAATCTTCGCTTTATTTTGTTATTTTTTGTTTATATATATATATATATATATATATATATATATATATATAGGCCTATATGGGAATGATGTTTTGCCCTACCTGACGTGTTATTGCACTAATTGCTGAGTACGTGCCCAAATACTTACGAAGAAAACCTCGCAACTAATTCTGTAGGAATCGGTTGAACACACAACCTCCAGATAACTAGCCGAGTGACGTGTCTTAACCACTAAACCACTTAGATTTCTTAGGGCTAGTGTTCAAGTATCAGTGTTCACTATTCGCGCTGACATTTCATTATTTTTTATTTATTAGGTACTTATCAGAAATGTAAAATATAGATTACCAATTACGCCGACGCATTTGTTCATGTTGTAATCTCCCATTGCCAATCCTGAACCGCTACACATGACCTTGCAGTTTCAGCGCATGCGCTAGAAGTATGCCTTGTACACGCGATTGACACTTTACGTCGATGATAGACAACTTATTTTCAGTGTGTCAGCTTATATAGCCAAAACCAAATCGTCTGTAAATCATAGGGCCACATAACGTCAGATATGTGAAGATCGTGACCATGTGCAGTATTTCTACCGAGTCAACTATGATCAGTCAACAAATACAAGCTTAGTACTTAGTATACATTTTTAATACATCTACGAAACAGCAGAAAGGTATTGAACTTTGTAATATCTATAAAAAAAGAAAAACAACTATTCGAGTCTTTTACTTCTGAGTTTACGAGGAAAACGTCCAGGCACGTACGCAGAATGACTAGATGTGAATACATATTGATATATCTCATTATCACCTTTTCTTTTATCTGCAAGTGTTATTCAGGTATACCG